TATACTTCAAATGAAGTCGTACTAACAACATTTTAGAGCTGCACTTATTACTCAGGCAACGTTTGCAACTCTAAAAACGTGAATATTTGAACGAACAAGAAGACATCATAACGTAAACAAGCACGATTATTACTAGACTTTTTCGACATTTACAATAATAATTCGGCGCCGAATCAGATGGTAAGAACAAGTTTGTCACACAAAATTAATGTGAAATGATTTAACGCAAGTTTTAAGATAAACATCGTGACACTTAGTTTAAATAACATCTGCGTTAGGCTTTTGCGTTTCTCCCAGAGTAGAACCCCTGTAAATTAGAAATGTGGGCCCAGTATCTATATATAAATTTCGTGAGGTATACGCACATGCACAGCACTGCAGCAACAGTATGCTTACATGACTCAACTTGAGCCAGTTAACCTAATTTAACATATAGATAACCTTACAAGACCACGGCGTTAAACGGGAAGTTCACGGCTGCTCTAGCTCGTAGATACTGACCGGCAGATCTGTCCCGCCATTCATTCACATGACAAAAGCTTGTGACTCAGAACCGTGGGACACAAAACAGATTAAGACACAACGGTAGGCCAGATGGAAATATTGGTAACTGGTAATAACAGAACAAGGTTTCAGGTATTGTCTGATAAATATATATATCAGGTATTGTCGGATAAAAATAATTGAGATCAGCGACAGTACTAGCAACGGCATTAGTCATTCCTTTGCTTCTTCTGTCTTACTTCTTCCTTCACGAAGCTTCTACTCCAAAGATATAACGGATATAATCCGGAACTCAAGATCCCCCACAGGGGCTCGCATGGATATAGCGTTTCGAATCTGTTATTTGCTAGGTTTCAATAGTGAGTTCGATTTTGCACCCAACAAACGACGACCTGAGGAGTCAGGCACCAATGGAGAAAAAAGGGGCAAACAAGAAGCAAAGGGAAGTCGGCAGGAATAGAGGCAGAAAGCTATCGCAGGAGAAAGCGTTTGAGGGGGGGGGGGGGGGGCAGACGCTTATTTCTTAAAGTCACTATCTCATTTTCTCTTGCCCTCCATCTCCGTTTTCTTTTACAGCATCCTCATTCGCTTAGTTCATTGGGTCTAAAGGTGAGGGAGCAGGGCGGGTGATTAAATCCGAGGGGCAACAGCAGAAGAGACGACGGCAACTGTAGCACTAATGGCGGAAGGGAAAACGGTAGCGCGAGCTAGGAAACCTTTGTAGTCCCCGCCTTATACATCCGAACACGCATAGCTTCAGAATCTTCAACGTAAAACTTAAACAACGCAAAAATACAAATGGGCAAACTTTTTTCTATCGCAACATAGGGAGTATCTGAATGCCGAAAGAAGAAACAAGAGTTCCAAATAGTGAAAGGCTGATGCGAAAAGTTCAAAGACTGGTTTTCGCCCAACGTTTTTCGTAGTATGCTGCAATCCAGAGTAGCTCTGAGACTGTAGTAAGATAAGATCGGAACGTCCTAAGTTTAACTTAACGACGTGATTCACTACCGGTAAAAATCGAGGATGAGCTTAATTCGGAAAAAGGAGCTCAGTTTCGCTCTGACTGAAATCTAGAAGCGCAACTAAAAACGTTCTTTTAATATTGGCTTTAGAACAACTTGTAAATCGATTGCTATTATATTTGTTTTTTGGGATGAATTATCCCAGGAAATAATTTGTCCGAAATTAAAGACGGAATGAACTCGGATGACTTTATTGACAACATGGTTCACTTTTTCAATGTGGAAAGTGACTATAAAAGCATTTTGAGTTACTACTTCACATTTCTCTGAATGGGAGTTTTTAGCCATATGAACCCGTTCTGTGTTCAATTTCTTAGACACAGCAAGATGTTCTATATGCTTACCTGAAACGCTTTTCGCTCAGTCACAAACACTGTCAAACTCGAGCAAAAATGGGTCGTTCGAGTTGGTGAAATTATTCGGCAAATTGTCTAAACAAACTTAAACCAAGGGCCACGAGCAGTCCCTTACGGAGTATGAAGATAGCACTCACGTCCTTTTAAGCTGCTTGCGAGAAAACAGGTCGATAGGCGGCTGGTCGCACAAGCTGGCAAACGGTGTGACTCGCATATCTATGGCACGCCAGTGATTCAGAGTAAGTTAGCCTTCAAGTTATCAGGCGCTTAAGCTTCGCTTCTGTTCTTGATGTTGAGAAGTCACAGTTTACTGATCTAGTCTAGAAGAGTCCGCTTGATTCGCAAATTGACCTGAAGGAGTTGGAGGAGTATTGGGATAAGTTGAATGAACATTTATTACCTGATCTTGAAGCACAATAGCTTGTTCTTTTTCAGTGGCAGGCCGCCACAGGACAGAAACATAATGCAGGAATCACTCGAAAAAAACGGCTCCAAATCGGTTCAATAGCATATAACCAATGAGCAGGAAAGAACTCTGCTTCTTGTTCGCTCGACACGTTTTCGTGTATGCAGAATTGCTAATGATCACTAACTAAACGTAATTAGAAAATATAATATATTATATGCTGTATAATAACATCGTATTATCGCATCCAAATTAACTATGTCCATTTTACACTTTTCCGGAGCTAATCGAATATGGACGTCAATTTATACCAACAGTGTATGCTGGAGCGGGCGTTTCGACTGTCGATACTCAATACAATTTGTATCGGTCCATTCCACATAAACGCATATAAGATTTGGTGATAACGTTGACCACTTATCACAGTTAGTAATAAGTAACTATTCGTCACCACATTACCGTTACTTACAACAATTAATTTCTATATATGGATAAATGACTTATGGTAAATTAGCTTCTTTACGGTCGACAAAGAATCAATGTGCTCTTAACGAACTGATTTCAATCCAACGACAAAATGATTGCACATGACGCCAACATACGACGTCACGACCGAACAAATTCTTGATAACTGACATATATCCTATGCATTCCACACAGAAAAACGGGACTGTTCTATCGCTAGTCATGCGTTACTATTAGTATCTATACTGTGACGATCACTGCTTGATGAACACAGAGTACGGCAAGCATATATATATATAGATGAATACCGGCGGATATTACAGTGTCGTGTTGTCTTTCTACAAGATTTTCCTACCAGTCGTCCATATATAGCCTTGCAGAGGTGTGTATATGCTTAGAGCGGGATTGACAGACTCTGTAAGCAAACTATTTCGACTACTCAGGTCACGAAATATTTCGTATCGCTTCTCCTGTTAAAGAGGTTTGGATGGCGTATGAAACTGTTCCGAGAGAGGCACTAGTTGATATATTTCGGGTCCACCAACTGCTTTGTTGGCGTGGATTTCAAAGGTAAAAAAAAACGGTCAGGCGCTTCACTCAATTAAACAAGGCTATCAATCATTTTTTTACCTAACAAATAATCCGCACCACCTACCTAAACGCCTTAAACAAAAGCTCTTACCCGAGTTTTGGTAAAGTATCAATGGCTGTGCATTTCCAAGTCTAGATTTCAGACATATATGGGGAATTTATACATTATAGCTAATGCGTTCCTATTGCTTCCCTAAGGTACTGTAATTCTGATTCGTCAAGTCTCTCCTTTCTCTTTGTATTTTTGTGTTTGGATTTATATTGCAGTACAGTTTTGATATGATGCTTATTCTGTGTTAGAGGATCCCATCCACTTGACGACCAGCAAAGACGCCATAAATTTCCTTGACTTATTACATAAAAAGTAGAAGTTCGGTCTTCTACGAATTGTTCGTTTAAAACAGATTGACACAAAACACAAAAAGTTACAGATACCACCTAGTTCTCTCGATGTCCGACCGTTCCTCAATACAGAGCTAATGGTGACGTATTCGATAAAATTACCAGAAACGCTGAGTGTACGTAAGTTTGTGCATGGGCTACAGATATGTGTGAATCTTGAAGCGTAAGTGTTTGCTGGCGGTCTGGGTTGATGGCTTCTGAAACTTGTTACGAGATCGTTTCCGTTGGCAATGGCTGGTACATAATGGTTTTCTTACTGTTCGATTCCCGGACGCAGAAGCAGTAGCAGCACGAGATCAAGCAGACGAACGCCAGGGCCACCCACGATACAACCGCCACAGCGAACACTAAAATCCGAACGCGCAGAATCCGCAAAATACATCGCACAAATAGACGCAAAAAGCAACGAAAAAGAAAAGGTAATGGTACGTAAGCAAAGCGTAGTCACACAACGTGCGTTAGTCATCGAAACTTTCTAAAGCATATATGATTCAAAGCGTCAATTAGACGCGGTTAACTTGAAAAAGTGCATTACACACATACTTTTGTCAGTGAGTTAAAGTCATAACTTAACGCAGCTCAACCACTGTAAACTGCCTACTGATATATAGCTGACAACTTTTTTTTACTAATTTCCCCACAAAAACGAAAGCTGTTTTAATATAATATTGGCTGCTCCATCCAATAGCACAGAAAGATGTAGAACACATGTGTACCTTTAACTTCTATTTGAGATTCAATTGTTTATTCAAAGTGCGGAAAATGGCGCGATAAATGTTGCTTGACAAATGGTAATCGCTGTTATACATGCTGGTATAGTAACAACATCGATGAAGTAAAAGCTTCTTTTAATTTATAAACTGTTGATGGGTTGCAAAGACTCAGCCTCGTTCCATACCATATAGCCGGCCAAATGCTACGTATCATTTGGAGCATAAATACGCTTTTGAGAATTAACTATAACGTGATATTTGTATAGAAGATTTATAAGTGTGACAGGGCTAAAAAAGTATTCTAAAATATTCTTCGTTGATGCCAATATTTGCAATGTGTGAAATAATGTATTTAGTTTTTTATTAGTTTGAACGAGCAACGTAATACGGCATAATATGATATGAATACTCTTATTTTATTTATAAATATATTACAAAAATATTGTTGCCACTTTCTAACTTCAATATATATATATGATTCACAGAAGTACCGTTTTCATTCACAGCAATGACCCTAGTACAGTACATTATAATAATATGAACATAATATACCCAACGATCCAGTTGTAACATACCACAGTAAACGCTGGTAATCGACAGCTGAGTATTTCTCTCAGTTAATCTTGGCTAAAATCTCATGGAGCACTTTTGACCCCTTTCAGATTGGCTCGAACTAAACATTCGTTCAAGCGGGTCAGCATATAAAAGTTTTTTATCTAATACTTTTTACCACTAGCCAAGCTTCTTCTAAATAATATAAAGTAACATTTTATATCGTTATTGGCTCACTTAAACTCTGTTACCGTTTTCTTATTTTATTTAACATTTGCACATGCAAAATGTTATACGCATTTCTTCTATGGGACAATTCAAACCATTTCACCTCCTAATACCTGTCTTTGTTTAGACGCTATATCTACAATTTAATTTATTTTAGTGGACGCAATATAGACTCTTCTTTTTTCACAGCCTACATTCTTACATTGGTAATCGAAAACGATGGGAAGCACCTAGCATGACTGGCAAATGCTTTAACAGCATTGTTAGAAATCTGGCAAGATGCTAGATGGGACTATGGGATCTGTGTCAATAACGGTGATGGCAATTGTCATTTAAAATTTCGCTTGTCCATTACAGTACGTGACCTCTAGTTAATGCTTTCTGCTCATCAGATCGTCTTCGCCGATCAGATATTCATAGTATTTGTTGTCACATCACGATACTGACCATCTCTACTGTCGACGACGAATGTATCTTTTCTACCACATTCCCGCGCCCAGTTTTCCGGTAGCTTCGAAGCGATACGACTTTCGAACTCTGGCAGCGGTACATGCAAAACCTGTTGGAGCTTCCGATCCTCGTAATCGAGTCGAAGGATCTTCACTGAGTAGTTACCGTAGGTTATATCTTGCCAAAGCTCAACAATGACGGTTGCGCAGTATTTCGGTGATTTTCCGTCGAATAAACCGTACAAGGTCAGCAGAGAAGCAATTTCAGTATCATGCTAGTAAGATCATTAGAGAAATGAGAAAAAGCAGAAGCAGAAAGAGTGACAGTAACAATTAACTGTCACATTATATATATATGAATTGAAAATTCAATGCGAATTATAATAGAATAGCAAAATAATCTGTTGGCTCTTTAACTTCACGGACACTTGTCTTGGCAACGCTTCAGCAATAATTATTAAATTGATTTCATGCTATCAGTCTGCATACTCAAGATTAAATTACAAAACTTCATACCGTAGAGTACATGTACAGGCGAACATCGGTGGGCTTTTCGGTGACTGCGATTATATTGTGAAGAATCTCTTTAGCGAGAGGTCCTGCCCGGAGCCTTTGCAGTAAAAGCGTCTTTGAAAACCAAACAAAGCTTTGGTCCTGCTGGTACATAAGATCATCGAAATGGTCGATTGCCCACCGCGGCTGTGGGAGTCCGTACAATCTCTCGATCATAACACAGTCATACACGTGTGCAGCTGACTCCCAATCTGTGACATTGTCCCCAGTCCATAAAGAAAGATTTCGATAGAAATCAGCATACCTAGTAATAAATGCGAAATGTAACATTAAAATTATTCTTTTTTATTTTATATCGGTTGTTCAGCAATGTTTTTATCCTTAATTTTTTAATTTTATTTCTTATGTGTTATCATTGTTTGTATCAGTTGTGTCGACTTTAGGTAGACAGGCTGTGGCGGAACACATGTTTCAATTCGTACTTTTTTTTTATCTGACTTGTTTGAAATGTAAACCATAACCTAAACTTTTTTATATTTTCGAGATACATTTCTCCTATATCCTCTGATTTCACAGCGTTATGTAATAAAGGTCTACCTTTATTTATTTACATTTATTATTACAAATTACATTAATTTACAACCTTTTGTTTTCTTAACAATCTAAATAATCTAACTATAATTAGGAGCTGTGTGCAAGAAAAATTACTTATAGAAAAAAGATTATTTAAAGCGAATGAACCACCGTGGCTGATACAAGAACAACAAAATATTGATATTTCGAATGGCAAAGGGTAAACTTACTTTGCCAAGAATTCTCTCCCTTCGTCCGTGTGTTTCAAAGCCGCGAACTCTCGATCGGCCTCTGGACAGTTAGAGTTGCCTGGTGCCAGGAGTCCGTCTTCATCGTTCGGTCTGGTATGTACTGGCACAGGTTGCCACGGAAAATTCGGTAGGAAACGTTGTTCCTGAACCGGACGATACATGCCAGCCAAATGGCACGAAGCGGAGTCCAAACATCGATCCTTGTCTGAGCTTTGAACAAAAATCTACAAAATTCAAAAATGAAAATGGCAAAGTTATGATCAGTATTGTTATAAAACGCGCTGGGCAGCCTGCGCTATAACACCAACTACGAAAAATACATTAATTTATTTAATAATAATATATCCCAAAACACTGAATGCTACGGCCAAATGTTTAATCAAAATAACGCAATTTAGAAGCTGCTATAGAGCAAATCGAATCAGTTACCTGTCTCGTAGACAGAAACTACACATGTCTTAATAGTGATAATCGCGATTTTGCCGAAACAATATCAAGGCATACTTCATACTACACTTCAAGAATTCATAAATAATACGGTACGGACCTCTTTGGGGTCGCCAGTAAGAAAATTGGAGTAATGTGCACGAAGGTAGGTGCCAAGCTTGTAGTGCATACGGCAGCCTTCTTTGGTTAGTTCACCAAGTCCACGCCTCCAGAAAGACACGTTGTTCAGGTCCTTCGGATAGATTGATATCGGCGCACGGTCTCCATGTCGGTATATCTATGTACGTCAGCAAGACAACACCAAAAAATAAAGTATTAAGAATAATTCAAGTTAATTACGTTTAAAAAGTCAACTGAACAAAATACAATGTATTTACTATATAACTTTGTACATTACTTACACTATTATTGTATTAATATTATTATTAAAATGAACGGCCGAAACAGGCCCAACGTAAGCTTCTACTGAGAGTCAAATCCATTACCTGCGATTAACGTTAGATAAGATACAAGGGATATATTCAAGATTTTGCTAGCCCTTTTTGATAGATGGTTTGGAAGGCTTTAACTTTCTAAAAGAGCTTGTGTCGGGATCTCGAAATTGTCAACACAGTAAACAAAAAAATCTATATTAATTTATATAGAAATAAATTATCTACACACAAGTACAGAAAATATTGCTTGACATATGGTTACTTGAGCAACAAGTAATTCAGATGGCACTGCTGCCTGTACGTAAACTAAGCCAAGAGTCATCTCCTAGTTTTCATTGATCTTCTATTGATTGAACTGTTATAAGAAGCAAGCTTCCTGTAGCGGTTCAATCAACAGATGCAGCAGGGATTAATTTAACGTCAGATGCAGGGAATACATGCAAACTCACTGCATTTATATGCTCTAGTTAGTCTAATAACGCAACAATTGAAATGTCTATAAAATTATACCGATAACACAGAGAACGCAGGAGCCACCGCGTTTATATAGAAGCGTATGGCGTACCGAAATAGTTGGAAAAACTGACTCTTTTAAAAATAACTTTAACGAGTACGCTAGCTTTACACTGCCATGCTAGTTGAACGTAGCACTGAATAATTGTGCCTCAGGCCAAGTCGTCACAGTACGAGCACCAATTTTTCGTGACATACTGACCCGTACAGACTGACTGGTCTATTTATGCTGATGTTGAGCACAAAAAGACTGCATATGTTAACCACCATCAATCACGCTAACAGATGAATTACTTCAGAAAAAAATATCTAGAAAAAAATGGGGCGGTCTAAATGAACTCTCACTTAAAGTTGCATGAACGGGACACGTAAATAATTCGCACCTGTTGTCACAGTAATTTCTTCTTAGGGCTTTTTGACTATGACGACCTAGAATTATTACACTGTGTATATACGCAATATCGAATAAAGATTATGCTTTAGACAATTTAAAATTGTTCATTAGCTGCCACGTTCAAATCCAACTCGAGCGTACGTAGAGCCTGCGTACGATGCGAGCTCAGCCTGATGATAAACATTACAAACAGATCACTTCCCAACTATTTATCTATGTTATAACTAACAACATCAAAATAACAAAGCTACCAATTATATAAGGAACATTGTTGCCGATGCGCAAAAGGTACAAAATTTCCAATATGTATGCCCATGAAAACCATATCAAATAACGACAGTCTCTAACCTTCTTTCATTCTGTTTTGAAATCGAAATGGGCGGTCCGAAAACTGCAAATAGTGTGCGAAAGGTAAAAATCGTGCATGTTCAAGGCTGGCACTCGAAATACTGTAGTTCTTCGAATATATTGTCCCACTTGTAGGCTTCTTTTTCCAACTGACGTGGATCCTGAGTAGCGCGGCAACTTCAGTTAAATTGAAAGCAACAACGGTTGTCTGTATTTCAATTAGACAAAGATCTCCTACTAAAAACAGAGTCAAATGGCGCGCAAAAGATTACAACATGTAAATTAAAGAAACAGAGCCCGTACTTGCAATCTGAATCCGCGCAAGTGGCGGGACGCAGCCGACAAACCAGACTGGCCATATGGAGACCCTCCTAGCAACACCTAACTGCATTGTTGGTTATCTCCGATTCCGGTAAAATTACGAGCTGATGCGAGCTGACAACTCTATGACAATTTTTCAGAATGCTGCTATAATCCCCACATCGGTCCTATTTGACCATTGCTATGTTCGTCAATTAGAACGGACCCGTTATATCTCTATGACCTATAATCTCAATCTCTTTCCGACACACCTTCCAAGGTCCATACCCCATCTCTGGATACCCTACCGCTAAATTCGTAAATAACCAACATACAGGTCAAACAAAGTATATATATACGCAGTTGACAATTTCATCTACCGGATACTCACATGGAAAAAAACTGTAGATATCGTAGTTAAAATTGTTTCCGAGTTATTTTCGAGACGTTAAAGCCTTGCGTTGCAACAAGGCTACTGAGAAATATGCTTTTTATTCAAAAACATACATTTGAGCCATTCTATTTATTATGGTGCATGTTATTTTATGTACAATATATACACCGATTTCCATGGAAAATCAGAACAATCATTTGCTCATTAAATTAGATAAGCCAATCGAAATAATTCTATCAATAGTATCGTGGTGGTCACGACGATGTACACGAATGGAGTAAACACCTATGCACGAATGACCCAATAAGGGCTAATTCTGAACAGCCACTTACGATGTTTAGATGGACGAGTCTTTCGGAGTCACCGAGAAAGTCTTGCGCGCCGCCGATCTTCGTCAACGATACAAAGAAAGCAATGCACACAAAAGCCATCTTTGCGCGGGCACCCAGAACCGCACAACGCTATTACCGTTAACCCCTAAAATTGTCGGTGAAAGGTAATACAGTGCGAAACTGTTGACGCGCTTGATGACACTGCACGCCTCCAGATGCTCAGGACGCCGACATTCACCCACCAAACAGTATTGCAAGCTCTCCTGTTAAGCGTATTTGCGCTACCCTCTCTTAATCTGTTTATACCGCACGAAAACAGGAGTAGCAGCTGTTTGTCACAGTAGTCATCCAAGGGGTAAGTGGGTATGCACAAATGGTGCGAAGTCTTCCCGGTGTACTTGCCCTCTATGAGATGATGTTATTTATAAGGGTTGGAGTTAGAGCGCGGAGGAGCGTCGTCTGCTTCAGTGTGGAGGCGGGAGGATCAGCGGCAGGGTAACCCCGCTATTTGCCGGTTATACACACGGCTATAGATATTGGGCTAGATTTGTTGTTCGGTCATGGAATACATTCGTATAAAATGAACATAGTGCGATGATATGTCATGCTCATCAGAACCTAACGTAAATATAGTGGCTACTCATATTTTTACTTGAGACTATTGTAGTCATCCATTCAAAAACATACTAATGCAATCTTTTGCGAACTCTTTTAACTACGGGGAGGCGTGATCTGGAGAGGTGATGTGTATCTCTCTAAATGCATTGCCATGGTAACCATAATTCCGGATCATGCTGCGATAATGGTTCAAATCTTAGCTTTGGCAAAGATGATCAGAATATATTAATATCAGGAGAATAAAGAATTGAGGAAAAATAAGAGAAATTAGGTATTCTGTTAGAAAAACCTCAGATAATTCTAGTACGATCCACTTTAGTAGATAGGGAAAAGCCGTTGGTGCTATACATAAAAATAGGTGACTCTATAGACTTATCTATTTTTAGAGTAAAATGAAACCAAAAACTTTCTAACAGGAGAATCATTGATAAACACTACCCGTCTGTTTTCCGAAATTTAACCCCCATGTACCTCAGATACAACCCTATGTTGCAATTTAAAAGTGAGCAGTGTTAGAAGTCTTTCAGTTACACGCCGTTCACAGTTGTTCCGTGCAGCCCCGGTAAAAAAAAAAAGTGTCACTTGGTATTTGAGATAATGATAAACACTTCTAGTTATGTCTGACATTCAATAACTGCCTGGTATTTGTAAATCGTTTGCAGAATCGCCTAACTATAACATCAATAGTATGTATTTCGGGAACAATTAAAAATTATAATAACAGCTGCCGTTGTAGGCCTTTTGTTAGACCATAGCTATATGTTCAGCACTCTTGGCGGCATCCCGGTGCAATGATGAGCGCGTTTATATCATTATATAGATATATGTATTTAGCTGATCGCATCGTTGCTTATAAGGCGGTCGTATTCATATACAATGGCATCATCTTCGCGCCCTAATGTTTCATAGAGGCAAAACGATTGTTTATCTTCGTGTATAAATAACATACAGAATTACATCATATATATCTGTCTTTTTGGACTAGAAAAAAAGAGCACTTCAGTAAAGCTGAATTGGTCTACCTATAGTTGTACTTAAAGTATGAACTGTTTATTATAGGTACATATATTACATCTTTCATGGCGGTGGTACCTTATTTTTATAACTAATTTTTGCACAACATTAAATGTCATGAAATTATATTAGGCTTTGTAAATATAAATTTTTACTTAGAGAGTGAACAACTCTACCCATAAATTACGATGAACTGCGTGCGGCGTTGGAATGCAAATAAAAAAAATCTGTTTCCGGTTTTACAGATGGTTTTTCTGCTGACGGTTTATTATTTTCTTTAGTATTTTCTTGACTAAAAATAATATTTAGAAATTTAGTCGTCATCACCTTCTTGACCTTTGCATTTGTATAATGTTTATCTACTCATAGTTGTGTCCTTGCCCTACTTCAATCGTCGCCGAAGTTTCAGTCCTGCATCCATAGAATCGCACAGGGCCACTTATAGTGCCCAAGAAATACGTGCTCGTTTTTAGGTATCTACATTGAAGGTTTATAAGTGTAACAACATCTACTAGCAATATATATATATATATAAGCACGCTTGGCAACAGCTACTAAAGACATAAATTGAAAAAATACAGAATAAAAAAAAAATTAATTTTTGGTATCGCCAACAAGCCACGGAGCTCAAATGCGAGTTCTATTAGTGCAAACGTTCATGTGACATAGTTTATTTGCCAAGTGAACTGTATGAGAATAGTAGATCTCGACTTAAGAGCTTACAACTACACCATCAGTATGTAAACTAAGGGCATTATACAGGGCTTTGTTAAATTTTGTTGAACTCTTGGCTAATTAATCCATTTGTACCAGGTCATAACGGCAAGCCCAAAAATAGAAGAAAGATGTGTAACGTCCGCTGAAAGATGAAAAATTTTAGCTCTGTTTATGTATGTTGCTTCGAAATAATGGGATTCTGTATCCGGTTTAACAGTAAAGTAATTGAGCAAGTTTTTACTTATCTATAGACGTAAGTTATCATTTAAGTATAAATATTTTTCAGGAATAGACTGAAGTCACTCAAGCACAGACCCTAATTAATTACAACTTATATGCAACAATTTTATTTATGAATTTATCGTAACTCACATTACGATTAATCCTCTCACGTCAATTGCAGTTATACACGTAAGCTAATTGTTGCCTAGGTCGAATTGTTCTAGCTCTGGTAATGTTCGTATGCACATCTGTACGTTTAATCTAGCTGTGACATAGTGTCCCTTATATATTGCCATAGAACTATACAAATATTTATTCCAACAATCGCAGTTTTAAGTACAGTGGGCAATTAAATCTGGGATTCCCAGAACAAATACACCTTCAGAACTTTATGTCTAGATAAGTAATCAAGATTCAGCAATTTTTTAAATCTGTTTCTTAGAAGAAATAATAACCATGTGATTCAATACGTTACTCGAATTTTGGAATGTGGGTCTGATACAGCACAACTCATACTGCCCCAGGCAAATGATACAGGAGAAAATATATAATTTTTTTCTTACAGTTGACCTATTTCCACGATGCTGTAGTTTACCGAACTCAGATACGTAACATGTCGTTATGAGAGTGCTGTCAAGATACAATTAAAAAAATGCTGTTATTTTTGTATCAATTTATCTATATATACAATAGTACGGTCATTTCTTTTTAAAAAGTGTTATTACAAGCAGTTCAACAATATTAGCGGTAGAAACGATCGTACAGTTGTAGCAGCTAGGGTATCAAGAGGGCAATATGGCTTTTTGCTTTTGAATTGGGCAATATAAAGAGGTAGAACAATAAAGTGTCCATTATTTTCGATGGCGAGTTTATCACCTATTCCCTTGAACGCTCGTACGAGTGTCAAGCGTAAACGTTTTAATTTATATATGCATAATATACTATTTTGTATTGATAAATCCGAAACAACCGTGCTAAATAATTAAGTCTTGTTTTACGTCGCTTTATAGCATCGTTCCGTTATATAAGACATCGGATTTTCAAATGTAATCCTCCGAAACGGCAACAGTCATGCACGACTTTTTTGGTTACGACGTCATGTTATTTTTTTTCTATACAGAGATGCTTCCATCACGGAAAGCAGTTTTGCCTATCAATGCGTTAATAAGAACGCTTTTGCCTTGTTTGTTGAGTTCTATGGCTTCTTTAAAAATGTCGGCTATACGCTCTTCGTCTCCGCCGGTCAAATGCCGACCTTCCGCTCCAAGGCCCTTTGCCACCACATCGTAGTCACAGTAGGACAGTGGGCACGCAACGGACGAGCCACATATGATAATCTAAAGCAAATTCAATTAAAAAAAAAAAAAAAAGGAGAATGTATTCGTTTTTTACCAATCTAAACAATATTAAGTGATAACAAAAAATTCCAAACGTGTTGACTGCAGCAGAATTTTTTAACGACACTAAGACAAATAAAGTTGACAACTACTGGGAAATTGAACAATGCCCCGCAAAAGGTCAAACCAGTGCAGGGTTCCAAAAAGCGATGAGTATGTTCAATACTATAGTATTAGTAAAAGTTTATCATAATTGCATTTATAGTTCAAATGAAATAGATGCAAATAATGATTACTAACTATAGCATTGAACAGGTAGTTTTCTATAAACAAAACATACACATCACTGACTGTAAATAGTATCGTGGCACAGTAATACAATTTGCTTAAATAATTCAATTAAAAAATCTAAAAAAGTATATTAACATTAAGCTAGACTACTTCTCGCCAAAAATGCTATCAATGCATGCATTTATCTCAATTGCAAATGTAGTAGTAAGGTTATTCAATATTCGTGTACCACTGTTATGGGTATGAATCCAACACATCTAATAGTGCTTACAATAATAAGCGCCTCGTATTTCGGCCTGAACCAATGGCCTGAAAATAAAGAAATTATTATTTTTAGGGTTCAGGCCAATATTAGATGTGTTGGATTAACTACAATTTAGGAGGTTAGCTGGTTATAGGGACGTAGAACGGACGCTTTGTTGCAATTCAATCATATGTCTGTACCTATTTTTTGCGAACAAGTATGTCTGTAATTACTCCGTTTACCTTGGTATTTAATTAGTGGATATCAGGCTTGTTATACTGTCAATATCGCACATTTTCATTGGATGGTATCCATATTACGTACGCCGCTACACAATTTTTATATACCTGTTCTCTGAGGATCTGTGTCCAGCATGCATCATTTCCAACGATTGCGGTTACAGGAATTTTCTGCCTTGTGAATGAGTCGAACTCCATCAGCGAGTATCCAGCAGATCCATCTCCGTAGATAATAATTACATTTGCGTCAGGCTGGGCAAGCTTGGCACCTATGGCAAAGCCGCCGCCAACGCCAAGAGTACCGAACGGTCCCGGGTCAAGCCACTTGAGTGGACCTCGTGGCTTAAGGATGTATGCAGCCGTTGCCACGAAGTCACCTCCGTCAGCAATTATAATCGTGTTATCGGGCATCATTTCTTCGAGAATACTGAGTAGCTTTATCGGATTGAGGTACTTATCGACCGGTTGCGAAGCCATTTCTTTGTTCTTAGATTCTTTGGCATTGTCCTTGGCGCGGAGACTTTTCACCCATGAATAATCGCACTTGTAGCCGGGAAGAAATCTTCTGAGATCAGCAAGGAACGAGCCTACATCAGCTTGTACGGCTTCGGTCGGCTTCCAAAACGCGTCGGAATTTTTGAATAGCTGCTCCTTGTTACGATTCACCGCAACAATTTTCGATTTGCTGCTTAAGACACGGCCGTATGATAGTCGAAAGTCGCATACTGAACCTAAAAGGAATACAACATCGGCTTCTTTTAGCGCGTCTTTTCTGCAGTGTCGCATTTGATAAGGGCTGTCCTTACCCAGGCAACCCCGAGACATGCCTCCCAAAAAACACGGAACCCCAAAACCCTCAAGGACATCTTTCAGGTTTTCAGCTTTTTTCGGACCTAGTGTAGCTTGACTTCCGAGAATAAACACCGGTTTTTTGGCTTTCGACAGCACTTCAGCGCATTTTTGCACCTGAGAAGCGCTTGCTAAAGGTGTAGACATGGGAAGTGGTCCAAAAGCGGTGGCATCGAAGCCGCCAGCAAAGAGATTGTGTAAATAGAAGTCGAGGTACCACTTTACAATTTGCTGACCGAAGTTTTTAGGCTCGTTTTTCATGCCAACTTCTTGTTTAACCAAGTTGTATGGATATAGAACGTCTAAGGGAAGTTCAACAAAGACGGGCCCAGGAGTATCAGACATCGCAGTCTGAATAGCCAATCGGAGTGTAGGTACTATGTCACGCACCGTGGCAGTTGATGCAGAGAACTTACAGATGGACTTGAGCAAAGACAGCTGATCGATATCTTGAAGTGCTCCACGGCCCTTAGCGACTGTAGCTGCCGCTCCGCCCAGAAGGAGTAACGGGCTTTCAGCCATTTGAGCATTTTTGACAGCCGTGATTGTATTAGTTACACCAGGACCCGCTGTCACGGCAGCTACACCAACATTTCCTGTGAGTCGGGCCACAGCATCTGCAGCAAATACCGCATTCACTTCGTGGCGCGTATCGACTATCCGAATGCCAAGTTTCTCCGCTCCGACCAAGATAGGCGATATATGCCCGCCGGATAAACAAAACAGCTGAGTGATTCCATGGTGCTTCAGTACCTTGGCAACAAGATCTCCACCGTTAATTTGTGAACTTTTGTCGACTCGAGCTATCAGGTAACGTAGGGCCGAAAGGCGTCGGCTAAGCGATGCCAGAGCACCTGATATTGCAGCCATAACCGTAAGTGTGAGCCAGTTGTTTACGACAAAGGCACACACACCATGCACTGCCATCTGATGACGTTCCGTTTGGTTCTGATGGTCAAAGGAAACCAGTTCTTATGTCAAATAAACTCGAATAAGTATCGATAGCAGCTACAGGACTGAGTAAAGAAAAAGGAGATGCCGTGGGAAAACGTTATAGGCTCAAACATTGGCCATTGCATTCATCAAAAACCCGACAACTAATGCACACAGCACAAATGCCAGCGTTACAAGTTTTCCTTCATTTTCAGATAAAACTGAAAACTGTTCCGTGGATTACGAAAGCTTCCACCTAAACAGTTCACTATCAACTTACTCATGTGTCGTCTGCTAGAACGACGTTACGCGAATATGATAGGCAGCAGCCGATGCTCATTATTAGGTACGCTACCGGCCAACAGATGTCATTGTTTTCAAAGACAAGCCGATGGCCAGAGTGATGCAACAATGTTTCTTTACGGGCTCGATCATGGCACGCTCGCATATTGAATCCAACTATGATTAGATTTGGTATGTAATCATAATGGTAAAGGGTTGCTTAAGTGTGGGAAAATTTTTATATAAAATCGAGTCTGCCTGATTTTGAAGCTCATATGAATGTAAAGCTGTTAGAATTAACAAATAGTGCAAAGGACAACGGGATGCGCAAAAAAGGGCAGGAAAATTAGGAAATTACATTATTTATTTTGTGACGGAGGTTTCTATGTACCGTTCGTGTGCCCACCTGAGTGCCAAACCTAGAGTTTAGTAACATTATAGTTAGTGCCTGAAATTGAATTAGTTTATAAATTACTTATTGGTAAGTATGTAAGATAGTAAAATTAATACGCTTTTCAATATATATCCGTATGCGGTATTAAGTTAATATTTTTGTATACGGGTGGAATCGAACTGCTGTTAAAAATTATCATGACGACAACGGTCCTTTCAAAAATTACTTATAATTATGCGGCTATAAAAAAATACTGGCAAAACAACACACGACATGCGATTCAGTTTCATATTTGATATGATATTATATTTATCAATAACATAATATATCGAAGTACCTCTGGTGTATTTCGAGGTATTGACGAACGTATTTTTCTTGCTCAAAGCTCATTTCGTTTGCTCATGGTAGCAGTGTAGTCGATTTTGTCACGATGGTTAATCTATCCAGCCTAGGTAATGCTCTAGTGCTTCACGGTCTGTTTCGGTTCCCCAGAAATTCAATGCATTTTACCAGTCATGAAGTGTTGGACTGCCTCCCACATGTACACTGCAACCGTAAACCTTTATGTAGGTACACAAAATAGGCCTAGCCATAGTTTTTTGTTAGTTCCAAAATCGCAAGTGGCTGATCTTCCCAAATAACAATACGACCGTAGATCATTAATATTCAGTACGCATAAAGTGATGTGACTAATTTTCTCACCGCTGAAAAAACAATTAACGTTGTCCGTTAACGCCCTTATAATCATGTGTTTCCTTGCAAGGTCGCAGGTTTCTGCATAACAACTGACCAAAAGGGTGGCTTCTGCCTGTCGCTTCAGTATCTTTTGCTCATGTGGTCGAAAGCAGGCGGGAAATTTTAGAAATTTTTTGTTTGCAAAATGTATTTCTCTACAACGCAATATACGATAACCGATGAACGCATATGGTGTCATGAACGACCTAATGTAGTTGGAAACAATTCCAGAAGCAATTAAAATGCGTTTAATATTAATGGCGGAAGTCTTTGAATGTTAGAAAGCACATATGGCAGGTTCAAGAAGCCATCAGAAATTGATAACTGGGAATGAAAGCTAAATGAGATGTTCAAGCACACAATACGCAGAGCACCTAACAATAAAAATTAAACATTTCTAACTGAAGTATTAATTATTTGCTCTGAATTCAAACAAAATGTTTCTTGATAAAATATAAATGACATAATTTAAACCGTCTATTATTTTTGGTACTATACAAAATGACGCTATTTACAAAACGGTCGATCCGGTAGTTGACTGAAGCTTTTTTTCGATAATGAAAAGCAAGAAACAACATCGCCCAAAAATAACACAAATGCCCCCATTTTGCTCTTTCGTTAGCCAACTTAGTTGTACCGTCTTTTTGTAGAGTCTTCTTGAACGGGTCATGTAGATGTACGGATCGAGGGAAAATGGACAAGCGAGGACAAGAAGAGCGCTTGATAAAGATTAGTTGATACGCGTACATTTTACATAAACTCAAGCCCACGACGCGCTAAACAGCTTATAAAAAAGTAACAAAAATGTTTGAGGAAGCTAATGAATTGCTTGCGAACGACATAATATGAATAACTGTATTTTATCTATTCATCTAAATAATCTAATTTTGAGGTGGATGCTAAAGACATAGTATCAGGCTGGTAAACGTGGCTCTTCTCTAGAACGTAATTAGTTTCTAGCTGATTTGATCAAAACTGTGAGTGACAATTTGAGTTGCGATGTCCTGTCTAAGCCTTCATGGGCTGAGCCCTATATAGACTATTCGCTTTCAGATTTCAGAAGGATTGTTTTTATTATTCTAGCCCATAAAAATGCCACATGCCCTTGTTTTATTCGGTTATGCAGTGGTCTTAGATGAAGCCCGTGGAGAAGCAATTATATGAGTATTTTAATGCAGTTTCAACCTTAGCGAACTGTATCATATCGGTACCCCTAAAGCTTATTTCTATCTTGCCAAATCAACTCATTTAGCTAGCATTTTTGAGCTAGACTCTTAAGGTCTACTTCGGTTTTCATCATTTTTATCACAAACTTTGCAGTTTTAAAAGCATAACTCAATGACTCTTATGCTTCCTACAGCGTCCTGATGAAGCAGGCTATTTTTTTTCTCTAGCAAAAGAAACACTCCCGTAAATAATGGAGAATGCAAATAGGCCCGCTCACAAGCAGAGCTTATAATCCTGTCCTGAGATTGATGAGTCGACGTTCAATATCTCCACACTTGTATTAAATTATATTCAGTCTAAAGTTTTGTCTTGTTTGTCATGTTTTAACGGCAATTGTGTACTTGACATCTGTGATTTTTCAAATGACGCCCTTTTCTATTTACTCTTTCCAAAAAAAACTACTGAATGGAAATTGCCAGCTAATTTAATTATAAAAAAAAAGAAACAGCATTAACCAATCGATCCGTTATTAACAGAAACGCTTCTCGCTACGACAAGACCAGCATTTATATCGATTACTCTTACGAGTAGTAAGACTAGTAATGTTACATTTGAGCATTCAATGAGAAACTACAGTGAAGGATAACGCTTTGTCATGTTAACTATTTTCTCAAATTCATTCTCGAACTCTATAAAAGCACGTGTTGTTTTGGTTAACCGTTTGTTGCATCCAATAAATCTAAGCCTTTAGCAGTATAGTATAATTAACTTTATATTTCTACGCTTTTTGGGCTAAACTATTGATCTTCATTGTTTGACGACCTCTCAGACGATATGACAGGGACTGAATTGATCGCTTTGTCACAGTCTCTCAATGACTAGTCTTATCGGCTTTCCACTTACGAAGGTTGTAATCATGCCACAGAAGGTTCTCCCGTTTTGATTGAAACCATCATTATTTCGCCTTCTAGAACAAATAACATCATACACGAACGTTTCTAAAGGAGCGTCATAAAGGAAAAAACATTGAAAAAAAAGCGTATTTTCTTATTTGCCATTTCGGTACGCAGTAAAGCATTCTAAAGACGCTAGATCACGCGTGATTTCTAGATCAAGAGCTCCCTCCTCGAGAGAAATAAGGCATGATCACTTCTTAATACCAAAACTAAATAAATACGCATTTGTTAAATGATGAATGTTATCAGGAGGTAGATTTTTATTGTTTCAGTATTTACAAGAAGGAAAAGGAAAAATAAGATAGATTTTTTTGCATTATATATTATTATTGAAATAATTATACGCACAGATATTGGCTCATGCTAGCATCGTTTCTACCCCTGCACACCACGACGTATTTATCTGCTATCTAATAGGAACGGCTAGATACACAGTTAAAGTTGTACGATTGTATATGAATTATATACGACGGTCGACGTTTAACGGCCAAGTCATCTAATAAAAAGTGCCACATGTTTCTGGCAATTTGTCTCAAACACCATCAAAACCATTGTCTTTTACAGACTCATTTTAGTTAAACGAAAGGACAAAGATAGGTCTCATATAACCCTACCTCATGCGCACTATCCCAAACCTCATGAGTAACGAGTGTGAATTGCATAACAATATCTGCCAGATAATTATGCCGTAGACACAGATTCACGATTGTATCATGCAAAGCTTTTGAACTTGAGCTTGGAACGCGAATACCTATGTGGCCTATTTAGAAAGTACCACAGGATTAAAGTCGTTTTTCAAAAACGTCCTTAAGAAAACTTACAAAAAGTGCAATTTTATGAAGCTAGAGTGAGAATACTTCCGAAATATAATCACCTCATTGAGGTTAGCGACGAAAACTATAGGGTCATATAGATAGCGTTACAACGTCAATTCCGCGTATCATCAAAAAACGTCAAGTAGAAATAAATAGGTGGCCGTCGATCTAGTTCGCACAACTCTTTTACTAAACCTCAGAACAGCTGCTACTATAAGGGGTCGTACTAGGCCATTATATATATATATATATATATATATTCAGACTGTATATTAGGTAATTTACTCTATGGATTTCAGCATCTTTCTGAGCTGCTTAGAGAGACATTGGGTGCCTATTGCTCATAAAGTTTACACCTAGTTTATTTTTGGCAAACGACGCAATGCTCTGCTAACTCAAGAAATGAAGACCTAAAATCATTGTTTGCCGTATGTTGATACACCGGGTATTGGATGTTCATACTACAGCGGTCAGAATGCTATTTACCATTGGTGTCCAGGCGTTATGTGGATATAAATGACTGAACCTCAGCTAAGAGCATACAGCTTCCCGTGAACCTTCGATACGTTCAGAATTTACAGTGCGTCCACTATAGATTCGATTTGTAGTAGCATTATACTCATGATTTTTCTCCCTACTCTAATTAGCATTTACTACATTTTGATAATTTTTAGCTGTTTGGCGCTAAGGGCTGTATATATTCGTTCGGCCATTTAGTACTTGCGGCTGGTTAAAGACTACTATATTTACAGTATATAAGTTGGATCAGACAATCGAGACATCTGTCTCAATATGCGCAGCCGCGCGGAAACCCTGAATTTGTTTTGATACTTGCGACCGTTTCATATTTTGAGGCAATTGTAACACCGAAATGAGACTAATTCCTGCCACTGGTAATTGGCCTGTATTGTTTTGTTTGCCTAGGTACAATATACTGCGGTACTGAAAAACGTCTTGTGACGCAATAGCGGCTAGTCTACTCTAACGAACTGAGTGATTTGTGATGAAATTTATAATAGAGACATGCTTTCGAACAAGAAATCGCGTGCGATTTGTATGACTAAGTCAGGTTCTTCAACGCACCATACATATTCTCTGTTCATTATGTGTATATTCGCATTGTTATAAAGGAGAGCTACTGTTAAGCGTAGTTATGTTACATATCACTGGATCGTTTGACATCCTCAGCCAATCCTTCTTCTATAGCCAGTGTAGCAAGTTGACCTTGCCTCGAGTTTTCTTTCTGAGGCATTGATTGATCCTTGGATAGACACATTGAATCCGATGTATTCATAATATCGAAAACGGGGAAATAGTTTCTTTGCTCACACGATACACGATGCTCAACCGCGTCACTGCTACTGATTAGAAAACAGAACGTTGAAGTCAGCAACTAAAGGCGCACTCATCTGACCTCTCTGTGAGCATTGCGAATCTACAAATCCTGTTAGAATTTGCTGAATATACAAAATGTACACGCCCATCGATTGCGCGTTTCCGCATCCCAGTTGTTTTATTATATGGTAATGCTTGGCTAAATCAGACAGATTGTTGGACACGCATCGACATGCGTACAAAACAAAACTACAAGGTATCGTACTTTGGTAGCCGCTTTCCATTGCTGTAGACCACAAGCTATTGACATAAGCTTTTAAAAAATTGAACTATTAGCAAAATGGACCTATTTACCGTAACTAACATGTGGGAAATGACTTGTGTCTTCAATGAGCGACTTAACGATTTCTCGAACACAGCAACCCATGCACGCTAACATACACTTATGTCTATGCGCAGGTAGCTCATGATAAAGAATGATGATAGATGATTTCAGTATGTGTAAATTGATAATGGGCGCGAAATTCAAAACATGTGTGAGAAATCATTGGTGTGTACATGAAGTTCAAATCGATTGTTTGTTTGTAGATATGAATTTATATTTAGCTGTCATTTTCTTACGCTAATTGACTATCTAGCCTGGTGGGGATGAGTTATGCCATTATGGAAAACACATCCATTGCTTCGTAACACTTTGACTTAAAGCTAGCTAAGCAGAGATTGGCGTGTGCGCACTATGGCTACTTGATAAACTGTTACTGCTTCCGGGTCCTCCGCTAATGGCTGATACGTTTCCGGTCGTTGGACTGATGACGGAGCTGTTGGGAGAGCAGACGCAATACATTAGCCCTCCGCAGGCCACGCACGGTGTTGTTGAGCTCGCTCTGCCTGCTACTACAAGCACAATACACAACAGAACGGAGAAAACATACCTTAACTTTTCTATTGTTTATGAACAGATGCTTGTAATGACAATGGAATCAATGAGCTTGTTTTGAGGATTCGGCGGATAGCAAAGCGCAGGTACAGAAACGTTATATGATAACGAATCGCATGTCGAGCAAGGAAAATTATCTGTATTCAGTTACGCTGCCAAACTATGCAGGCAACGATAGCTGTCTGATAGCATTTCTGAGCTAAGAAATTATTGTCACTCCTGACAACCAGTTTTGACTTTTAGAGCTCTCGAGAAATGACACATAGAAGGTATAAGAATCGCTTACCACCAGTGGTTATGCTGCCAAAAACAATTGTAGACGGAAACATTTTAGCGTACCTATATTTTGATGAGCCAGCAGACTATGAAATGTATCAAGTTCACAGGTGTCACGGACCAGCACACTGCTCAATGAGTGACACGAGCGTCGACCTGTTAATAGGTCAGCTCTGTGTAGCGAATTGGGACCCGTTCTCCTCGTTTTCGAAATAAAACTTAAACAAGCACACAACAAGGGAGGAAAATGTCATCGAAAGTCTGCGTTTACATCGAGTGGGCTAATTTACCTCCAAGGGGCGTCCCGGGCTTGTTGCTGTGAACAACCGAATTGTTGTTATTGTTGCCGCTTGTCGCGTTTCCGCCAGCCCCGTTCGCGCCAGCAGCGTTGCCGCCGCCCCCGTTACTTCCGTTACTCGCACCAATGCCGTTGTTATTATTATTGTTATTGTTAATATGCTGACCACTGCTGTGGGTATGGCCATGGCTGTGCCCATTCTTTGACTGGTTGTTGAAGTACTTCTTTTGACGCGCTCGCGAATTCTGAAACCAAACCTGCGTCACTCTTTTGCTCAGCCCCGTTATCTGTGCGATCCGCTCAAGGTCTTGGCCATCGGGGTTGGAGTCCAGGTTGAAATTGGCCTGAAGTACCTGCAGCTGTTCTTCGGTAAATGTCGTTCGAACGCGCTTCGTCTTTGCACGAGGATTATGTTCCTGCTCTCCATTTTCTGCACGAACGCACATTGGTAAAAACGCATATAATAGTGCTATGAAACCATGTGGCGCGTGAAAGGGTCTAGTTATTCTAAAAGAATCGGTAATTTTAACGCAACATGTGTCAAGCAAACTCGTTTCAGCTGACAACATGAAGTTCAGCTTTGCAATATTACATTTCTCGAAGTTATTTGTTTTAGGTCGAAGGACTTGAGATGAGGAGAAAAACCAAAAAATCCGTTTATTCTGAAGGTTTAATTAAAGTTAGATTAATTGCATAGCTGCGACGAAAATGAACGACTTTAGTACCATCGGTGGATTGGCTGCCTGGATCGACAAGCTCCTGAAAGTGCGCTTTGCAAAGCACGCGTCCATCATGCAATGCAAACTCTTCACCCGTGCTCAACTGTCTTCGGCACTCTTCGCAGGCAAAGCACGCCAGATGATAAACACGGTCGCGAGCTCGCCGAACCCAGTCTGCCGGCTGGATCCCCCTAGCGCACTTTGCGCACCGCGCACCGAATTGCCTGTAAAGCAAGACCGCACGCTAGTATACACTCTAACTTTACGTTAGTTAATAAGAAGCTTGATTACTACAATATAATAGTACGTTGGTAAGTTTTAGGGCTGGATAATCCGCCCAATAAAGTACAAATCATCCAGTCACCAAACATCTGGTACTTTAAAACACTGATAAATTGGTACCGCCTACATCCGAAGAATATATATTGACGAACTACAGTTTCACTGAAAAATAGGCATTTTGGCACTAGCAATAGGAAAATAAAACCAGCATACAGACCTGGCACAACAAATTAGACGACTATCCAACAACATGAAAAAGGGCTGAATTTTTGTTAGCGACAATTTTGGCATTTGGCAGATTTTTTTACAGCCTCTCCGCCTAGCGACACTTTAAATACCTGAGGGTGGCCATATTGCCCCAAAATCGTTACCGTTTAAGCAATGGTATACGATATGTGAACCATGAAAATGTGATCCATCAGTAATCTACATGTCTCTTCTGCCGACAAATACACATTTGATTCGAAATTATCAATGTTACATTAACAGTAATGTCCTTCTCACCCTTGCGGCAGCAATTCAGGCCATCACTCGAATTCCTATTCACCTGTCAGCATAGCTGAAGAGTGAAGAAGAGCAGCTCTGAATATATCTGTCCCTACAGGTGTAACAGGATCCGCGTGTCGCCGAGGACGGCCAAGGACACTTCCGAACAAAGGAAATTCGCCATCGCATGATGGGTCACGACAATCGTACAACCAGGATTCAGTCGGGGGCTAGATCTAGCTCAGAACAGCAACTAACATATGTTTTGACACTGCTTTGCCACCTAATTCGGCCTCATCTCATTACAAACAGAGCTGGTCGCTCTAGTCGTTGCGAGCAATCCGACGAAGGGGGCGCCAAAGTGCTGCGGGCCAACTAAAGAGCACCGATACGACACATACGAGTTACTGTAGCGGCACCCAATGTCTGACACACATCGGTGTAGGGTGACCCAAGCCCGCATTCAGACATCTCAAATCCCTTATACAGTCAGTCAGGATATCCCAGGATTCACAATAGTAACAAGTAGTGATGATGTACTGAGAGAAGGAAGGATTTGAGCAGAAGAGAGAGAGGGGGAGAGTTGTGGAACGGGCGAAACGCACTGGAAGGTATGGACCGAATGGGTCCCTGAGTCGTAACTACGCTATTGGACATCTACGAGCGAGGTGTTAATAGTATGTAAATCACAGGGCAGATGTTGCCGGTGGAGACATTAAACAGGGGAGAACGGGGGGGGGGGGGGGGGCGTGGAGAGAGCTAGTAGGGGGAAAAGCATGAAGCGCTAGAAAGCCGGGATACGATGTAGTCCTTCCTGGACAGCATTTGAGTTGGGGAGACGCACCTGTAGCTGGTGCAGTAGACAAAGAGGGTATAATTCGTGTGCTCTGAACTAGTATAAGCTACAAATGTCACCTTGATTCCTCAAAATTCACTTTGTGCTAATGTGAGAAATCAAGCATTGGATGTACAATGAAAAGTTGATTATTAATAATCATCCATGGTAGCGTTAATATTGTGTATAGCTCAACAAAAGAAATTATTTTTTGTCACAATCCGTAAAATTTAGCTTTACTACGCTTTACTATTTTAGAGTAACTACGCGGTTCGGCGGCTTCGGGTAAAGCATCGTTTGTTTGTACAGTAAGCGAACCCTTACTGTTTTAAAGTGTGGAATTGTAACAGCCTCTACATACAAATGCGAATAGATTTGAGCTATTTTCTAAGTTATCGTTTATGCAAATTGTACACAAAGCTATAATTCATAAGTTGCTATAAAAAGCTTCTCTTCCATAGATGACGTTGGTCATGGACTTCACACACAGGCCTCAGCGTTTTCACAATCTGCCAGTCATCGAAAGCATAGTTCGAGTCGCCTTCCAAGCAAGCATAGTTCGTTGTCAGTGGTAGTCAATTGATTTGCAACCAGACCCCGAGTCGTGTCCTACATCAATGAGCAATTCACTTTCTTTTCCGTCCTTTTGCTTTGCGATCTGTTCGTCCTATTCCACTCCCTGCCTTTGGACTCGTCTACAGCTGATAGTACTCTGTGTGCAATAGTAGTCTAATGTGGCAAAAAGAAACAAGCCTTTTCTCTATTTTGCTGGTACCCCGCCTCACAGCCGTCCTTTTCTACGATGCACGATGAATAGAAATAGCGTTTCCCCTGTGTTTATGGCAGATCCGTCGCAATTGCAGTCGTGTCAAATGAGGCCCTGAAACTACGCTGTTTCGGTCTGTGCCAAGTGTATCGGCAGTCTACCATCACATCAATGAGATACTCTCTCATGAGGTGAACTCAAACGGGTACAAGCTGGTAGAACCACAGAAATTCGATTACATCACGGATTGCTACCAACCTTAGCGTCGTCGGCAAAACTCCCTCACCTTTTGCTTTATTGAGTTCCGTAGACATAATGGTGTGACTTTTCGCTAGCACCCGCGAGGCTTTGTAGGCTGGTTGTGTGTCACCTAGTCCTAAACCTGCCAAGCAACCGGATATTTTGCTTATTGCTATTATAAGTATCTGCCTAAGCTTCAAGCTTTCATTTGCCTTTTTAGATAATCAGTAGGACTCACATAAGTTGTTCAGGGAGGAATTCTTTTGCGGAAGGTCAAAAGGCAAAAAAGTAGGCTTTTAGTTTGTGTGTATCTATCTTAATTGGAAGAAAAAGCTTCTCCAGCGTTTGCCCACAAATTAATTTTAATAAATTAATGTTATATCCAATTCGTCGAATGCCACCATGGGTTTACCGTGTTCCTTGAGGTTGTTACCGTAAGCCCACAAACCCATTTTATAGGAAGATATCGCGTTGTTTTGAATTATGACCAAGGTTGGCAATATACTATTGTAGATAGAATACAGTTATCATAATGTAGTTCTTATAGAAGTCTCATAATTTATTTAATACGGCAAAATGCCTAAGGCCGACTCTTCTCCGATTCTCACTTGAGCGTATCTATAACTGTAGTTTATATCACGTAAGTTTGTTTGAAGAAACGGCAGACTTTTTGAGAGGAAATTTAGACAATTTAGAGGAAAGCTTTAATCAAATTTTTTTTGCATAAGTCGTAAGTTAAGAACTTTTATTCAATTAGATTATCTAACAAACACTTTGGTTCAACTGGATTTAATGGATTGTAACACAAAGATCTAATCTGTTAAAATCGATTCTTTTGGAACATTTGAGACCAAAAATATCGAAGAATTTGGCAAATAAGCAACTCCAGCCTTAATTTGTTATTTTTTTTTATATTTTAACCCAAGTCAACTGTTTATTAGCATATTAAAATTACCCAAGTGTTTCAAGACGAGCTTTGACAGTATCCTGTTTCGGAACAATATGGGGTCGCAGGTAGATAAGTGCTGTGTGTGAGGTGATCTAGCAAATTACATGCATCCCTCTCAGCTGGCTGTTGGCTTGCTTGAAAGAGCTATTCGAACAAGCAATTTTCGGACAGCAACTTAGTTCCTCCTCTAACAGACTAAAATAAGATCTGACGCTATATATAAAGAGAGAGAAAGTTCCTTTTTTCTGGGGATGGAACACGATCGAAGAAGGCCGAGGAAAGGGCGTGACGCCCGTGTGGGAGTTAGAAGCAAGTGGCTAACGATGCCCCCCGGCAGTTCATTTAGACATGGGCACCGTCTAGCTGCATCCGCTACTCTAGCGGCCAGACCCAGCAGTTGTACTTGATTCGTGTCCGTTTCCGTACCGAGCGCGATGCAGCCTGACCGTCCGTCGTTGAATCAACAACATCCCGCTCTCTTTGTCTCTGGCGTACGCTCCTATTTGCTGCACTTTTCCTTAGACCTAGTCGTTTGCGCGCATCGTAGGGTTCCGTCTCTCCCTTTTGCCCGAGAGCAATCGGCTCCGGCCCACAACACAGATCGTGTACCAATCTAGGACCGGATCACTATGTTGATTGTATACTGGTAGCTCACACAAGTACATGAACATATCCCGCCGGGACCAGCCCGACTGGTCCAATGGCTTTTCTTCTACAAACGTCTGCACGGAACGAACCGCGGGGAAAGAACAGCTGCATGAGAAGTTCGTTCCACAAGGATTACAAATGTGCATATTTATACACAAACAGACAAAGCGACGGACGGACAAATAAGGAGCTGCTGTGCGTCAAGCAAAAGCATATTGCACATGCTCTTTCCTAGAAGAAGTACTGTCTTGTGTTCATACGCGCTGCCGATCCCGGCGGTGACGGTGCTCATACGTGGTCGACCGGGATCATCTATAACTTATGACATTTTCAGCAAATTGTGTACACAAACCAACAATGGTTTCTTGGACAAAGACAGTAACGGCGCTGCCTTGCCATGTGTTGACGCTCCTTTTTCAATGTGTCTGCCGCTCGTGTTTTACGTAAGGCCGACAATAAGTATAGATACGGTCTATGGTGTGCCGTAGGCCGTACTTATCTGGTAGTCTCACAATAAGGCTCCTTTCAAGGATGAACCTGTGCGAACAGAAGCTCTAGTGATCACCGGCTATAGGACAACATAACAGCATAGCATAGGACAGAACTTGTCGAAAAGTTTTAAAAAAATCATGAAACAAATTTTTTTTTAAGCAATTTAAGTTAAGTTCACAACTGGTATCATTCTACTTATACAAGATACTAGAATTTATCAAGCTGTAAAGGCATACAATTACGTCAAAGTCACTCTACTATGGATGAATGTTATTTACGCAACGCACCCCAGCGTTCAGATAAACCCAATTTTTTTGCATGCAGATCACAATCGAAATGAGTTGAAATCAATAAGGATAACCTAGTTAACTACAAAGCAGTTTATATTTCACATAAATCGCTACTAACTACGTTAAGTAGACAAATAGTGAATAAAATATTGACCATTCTTGATTGTTCGTAGTGCTTTCAGCTTGTCCTCTGGAGCCCTATCGTGCGGAACCAAGCGAGTAAAGGACGACAAAGT